CATTTTTCTCTCTGTGTGTGGTTGGTTTTCTCCTTCTCTTTCTTTATTTATTATGTTATATACATATATATATATATATATATTTATTTATTTATATTTATATTTTTCATAGGTACATTATTGGATATGTAATTTAGAGATTTTTTTTGTTTGCGATTTTAGGGGGCTATAATGTTAGAGGGAATGGCAACCAAAAGAAATGGGGTGATTAATATGCTATTAATAGGGAGTATTAATTACAATTATGGCTGTTAATGAAATGCTTGAAATAAATTATAAATAAAATATGAAGTCTGGTGACAACGATGTAAAAACATAGAAATACTATGACCTCTTGTATCCTACTGGCCTTTTAAGTTTGAAATTGAATTTTACATAAATTTATATAATGATGGGTATATGTTTAAAAAATAGAAAATATAGGGACCTATATTGGACAAGCCAGATTTCTTATTGCATGATACTAGTCTATTTTCGTTTGAGTATGGTGGACTCCTAGCCATACAAGTTTGGGAAAAAGTACATGCTGCAATTGTGAATAGTTACTGTATGAGTTCCAACTTACAAGTTAAAGTTGGAAAAAGTACATGCTGCAAGATTTTTCCTGGATTTCCAATATCTGTCACATGGCTTCGCATTTAGATTCCTACTTCTCACAATCTCAACCACAAAATTTCCAGATTTTTCGTCCAGTCTCATTCAAAAGAAAAAAAAGATCAGAGGCTTAAAATTATATTGAAATTAAAAGCAAAAGCTAAAACACCGTGTACAAGTGACGGAAGCTACACTGTTCGCAACTAGTCTCTCAACATTTATGCTTTGATCAAGAGTGAATTTAAATTTAACCAATGTCTCATTCATCTGCTTGGAGATCTAAGTGTTGAGAATTGTTTGACACCAGCATAACAGTGTTCATTCCAAATTTACGCACGTTAATAGATTGATTGTCTCTGTACGTATCAAATATTTCTTTGAAGAAAAATAGTCTGCTAGATACTAATTGATTACAATGATATGGAGAAGTATGCTTTTATTCACATATTCTTTTCGCTCAAAGTTTCTTTCGTATACGACACATCTCTGCCAGAGCATCACGAATGGCAATCAAGCTACACAAACTTCTAAAATGGCAATCAAGCTTTCTCGAATCTTGATGCAAGCTTTCTCGAATCTTGATGTAACCTTAATTTCTAAGTGCTCAAAACACAATATCCATGCCTTCAATTTAAAAGAAGCTTGAGAGATTTAGGAAATCATTAATTAAAGAGTATTTCCCCCTAATATTTCCCAACCATATGTACGGTCGTATTGTAAAACCCACCAAATATTCCCCCCTTCCTTCCCTAGCGTTTGGCCAAAAAAAAAAAAAGAAAGTAAAAAATGAAGTGGGAGGAGGAAAAAAATTGATGGCGACAAATGCATAAAATTACGGAAAGTCACCTAGATGCAGACAAAATCTCCGCCCAGCCAGCCAAAAAAATTGATGGCGACAGCAAAACCTCTGCCCAAACAGCCTCTACAAAGTCACAATTTGTAAACAAAAGCCTCCACAAACTTGGGCCGGCAGCAGCCCAGTCTGCCCTCCATATAGGCCCACCCTGTTTTTTATGTTCATCTACGTAATTCAAATACTTAAGCCTGGTTTGGTACACCTCCCAGGCCTGGATTGGATTAGATTAAAATTAGGCCCATGTTTAGTTCACCAAAATTTAGTTTGGATTACTAATATGGGGCCCACCAGAAACACCTCCTTAGGCCATCTCCAACCCAATGGGTGGAAACTTAAATTATGAGTTTTTAGTCCAAAAATCTTCTTCAATCCATGTATTTTGGGGGGTGGAAATTTGAGAAATCTCAACTTTGGGGTGGAATTCTAGTCCAAGTATTGCATGGACTGGTATTTTATGTGGGCTCAAACTCTGTTTTTTATTTTATTTTTTGGCTTGGAAGCCCACGTGAAGACAAAAATCTACTGGGCCCCGCGTGACAGGTTTGTTGTTTGGCCAGCAAGTTGGCGGCACTTTTCTTGCACTTGCGCTGTAAAAAAAAAAAAAATTTATTCCAATAGCTATATTTGTAATTAACGATCATGTAAATTTTAGGCAATCTGAATGGTAAAATTTCACATTCAACGGCTCAAATTTAAATTCAATGGTCAAAATAATATTTATAATTAATCTAAATCAGATCCAATCCCAAAACTTATTTCAAACTCTATAAATAGCCATCCATTTGGTAAATAATCCATCAAAAATTATTTTTATTTTTTTAGGTTAAAATGTTTAGAAAGTTAAATCACAAATGTTGAAACAAAAATAATGTCAAGAAAAATTAACGAGAAAAAAAATTTAGGGATTAATCATTCTTAAACATTATAAAAAGTTGCAGACTCAAATAATTTGAGTATGTAAGGTTGAAGGAAAAAAAAAATTTTGAGTCCTAAAAATATATGAATAGTTGTATTTTGGAGGGTAGAAATTTGAGTTTAGTCCCAACATTGTTGGAGATGGCCTTAGAAGGTGTTAAGTGAAGCCCGTGCGAAAGGAGGGGACTCAACAATCTCGTGCGTTTTCAGACACAAAAGAAACAAAAACTAAATCTTTTGCTTTATGTGCTCATCCTCCTGCTCCCATGTCCGTCAAATCAGCTGAGTTTTTTTTTATCAACAATTTCTAAGAAAACCCTACTATCATCCCAAACTACCTTTAAATAAACCCCAAACTGAAAAAATAAGAAATAAAAGAGATTTTCTATTTAAACCCCACAATTTTCTTTGTTCCCAGCAGAAAAAAAACACAAACAAATGGAACCCCAAACCCGAAATTTAATATTTTCTAGAGAAAGAGAACAACTTTACCTCTCTCCAAGTAGAAGAGTTAGTCCTGATCTGATCCAATTTTTACTTTACCTATGTCCTGATCCAATTTAAATAGGATGTAGATGAGTTTGTATTTTTCTAAAACTTAATTAATATGAAGAGTGGTGGGGTGTGTGTATAAATGTACTAGGGTTAATTATTAAGTTGGATGACCTTTTTTGTCTTTTAACACAATAATAAAACTTACAGCTTAATGATTTAAGTATTGGGGTGAACAAAGAGAAGTGTGAGGTTTAAATAGAAAATCTCTTCTTTTTTTGTTACAAACTACAAAGGTACAAAAACAAGAGTGTATTAATATTATGAATTTCAAGGTTGTTGGAATGTTGTCTAGCAGCTTCGAGGCCATTTCTCAATTCTTTTCAACGTTTGATTTTCTGAGGCCGGCTGCCAAAGAAGAAATCAATCACGAATATTAAAATAAGGGTAGGTTGCTAAAAAATATAGGCCTCTAACAATACTATCATAGATTTGCAAGTCAAAATTTCTGGACTGAATTTTTAGATTTTGTTCAATTTCTGACACGTTTGGTTAAAGTTGGAATCCCGTTGGTCAAGAAGAGTCAAATGACAGAAAATCTATTGAAGCCAGTTTGGCAAAGTAGTCATCAGCTAGCCATACTGTCTTTATTAATCAAAGAAATATGAAAACTAGTTCAAACCAAGGAAACATTACAACTATATTGCATGCTAACGCTGCACAGTGTGCTTCTTTCTGATCTGACACATCTGTGCCACAGCATCACTCATGTCCAACCTTTCTCCAGGCAACTCTGCAGAGCAAGCAAGACCAATTTCTAAAATTGAAATCAAGCATTCTTCGGTTTTCATGCGAAGCCTTGCGTTATCCTCATTACGATGATTGCTAGTGCTCATCTCCGCTTGCACCATTTCCTGAACAAGAACGGGATCCACAATCTCTACCAATTGCTCAGGCACAGCGGCCTTGACAAAGTTATGAAGGGTTAAAGTTCCTTGAAACAGATTGTCGGTTGGTTTTTTTCCTGTAAACATCTCGAGCAGCAGAATGCCATAACTGTACACATCTCCTTGCATCCACACGTTGTGTCCCAGACCATACTCTGCGTTTGCTCAATTTAAAACCCCCCCAAAAAAAAATTATAATTAAGTGTTCTTCAAATATAAACATAAATACTGAAAAAATGTTAAGAAAATGAAACAGGAAAGATTATGTACCTGGAGGAGTATAACCAATTGTTCCTTTTATTCCGAGCGAGCTTGATTGATCACCAGAAATGGTTTGAGAAGTTATGGGGAGGAATTTTGCTAACCCAAAGTCACCTACATGTCCAATCATATCATCGTTGAGAAGAACGTTGCTGGGTTTCAGGTCACAGTGAACAATTGGCGTCTCACAATGATGATGGAAATACTCTAACGCCATAGCGACGTCAATTGCTGTGTTCAATCTTTGACAAAAAGTTAAGCTCTTTTGTCTTTCATTTATCTCCCCATTTGTTCCAGCAGGATGCAACCATTCTTCTAAACTTCCATTAACCATGAACTCATAAATTAAGGCCTTGAAATCATTACCGCGATAGTCAGAACCTGAACACACCGAGAGTACTTTCACAAGATTACGGTGTCTTATATTTTTCAAAGCCTCACACTCAGCAGTGAAACTTTTGTAGGCACCACGACGAACGAGATTGAAAACCTTTATTGCAATTGTTGCTCCACCATCTTCAAGTACTCCTTTATAAACGGACCCAAAACTGCCCATGCCAATCAAGTTGGTAGAGGAGAATGCATCAGTAGCTTTTAGAAGGCTTTGATAAGACACCTTGAGAAATTTGTCTGAATCACTTGAAGCGCTTTCCTTTTTTCCCCTTCGTAAGCATTGAAGGTACAAGAATGTTAGTACCAAAATGACTCCCAGTATCCCCAAAACCAGAGAGATTATCAATTTCATGGTTGGACTTAGTCCTCTTTTGTGTGGAACTCTGCATTTTGGCAAATGAAATTCAGGAATGCCGCCACAAAGTTTACTATTTCCTTCCACTGATGTGGCAGTTGCATTCTTGAAAATTCCATTGATTGGTATGCTGCCCTCAAAATTGTTGAAAGATAGGTTCAAGGATTGCAAAACTTGCAACCGGTCCAAGAATTCTGGAATCACGCCTGAGAAGTTGTTTTGAGAAAGATATAATTCTGTAAGACCTCTTAGTGAAGCCAAGGATGATGGAATTTTCCCTTGGAAGAAGTTTTCATGCATGTCTAGATACTGTAATTTAATACAACTACCAAGGCTTGGTGGAATTTCACCAAATAACTTGTTCCCAGAGATATCTAAAAACTCTAGATTTATTAACTTTCCTATATCCTGGGGAAGGGAACCTGTGAAATGATTTTGAGATAACCTCAATTCATATAAGGACCAGAGACCACTGATTTCTTGGGATATGATTCCGTTGAAATCGTTATCCTCAAGAACTAAGATAATCAAATTGTGACACTGTGCTAAAGTTGACAAGACATTCCCTTGAAGTTTGTTGCCTTCAAGAAATAATCTAGTTAATTGACTTAAATTTCCAAGAGAGGATGGAACATTCCCGGAGAGAAAGTTTGTACTCATATCTACATCATATAACTTCTGAAGCCTGCCTACATTACGGGGTATGTGACCTGAAAATCGGTTCCCGTACAGCGAAACACTCTCCAAGTTAACCAGATTTCCAAAGCCATTTGGGATGCTTCCGAATATTTTATTTTCATTTACATGGAAGTATCTAAGAGAAGACAAGTTTGCTATGCATTGAGGTAACATACCACCAAAAGTGTTCATTTGAATTTGCAGTGTTCCCAAACGGGTGGCATTAGTCAAATCACATAGAAAGGTCAAGTCACCAATTCCCCC